CATTAACTTTTTTGCCTGTACCGTTTTCATTCGTAAGAGAAGATATGGTGTTTACTTTCTTTGTTGTTGTGATGGTTTCCATTTTAGTCTCTGTCTTGGGTTGGAGAGTTGGAGGTGTTGAAGACATTGGTGATATTGCTGGCGCCAGTGTTGGAGGCTGCAGGGAGGTCATAGCCTGAGACACTGGACATATTATTTGTTGTTGTTGGTGATGGAGTTGTTGCTGCTGTTGTTGCTGTTGCTGCTGCTGCTGCTGCTGTTGCTGCTGCTGTTGTTGCTGCTGCTGTTGTTGTTGTTGCTGCTGCTGTTGCTGTTGTTGTTGATGCTGTTGTTGTTGATGTTGTTGATGTTGTTGCTGCTGCTGTTGCTGCTGCTGCTGTTGTTGCTGCTGCTGCTGCTGTAGTTGCTGCTGTAGTTGTTGCTGCTGCTGCTGCTGTTGCTGTTGATGATGCTGTTGCATAGAAAATGTTGTAGTGGCTTGGGAGTTTATAGAAGCTTGACTAGTCATAGTCTGTACATGAGACTGGGCTTGTAGAGATACACTAGATATTAACGTGGGTGGGGAGGGGGCCACCGACACTTGAGGAATATTCACACTTGATTGCTGGTTTTTCGATCCGGGAGCTCTGACCAGCTGGGGCAAGCCAGGAGGCGGCTGCCCTGCTGGGGGTAGAGGTGCTGTCGGAGGGGTCATTGGAACTCCAGGTCTGTAGACAAAATTATTTTATAACTATTTTGCATTTACAAAAGTTCATTATTGCTACTAACACAGAAACTACAAAAACTTGTTGTTAAAATTTTTATATAACAGCTTAAACAGCATCCTTAACCATCCAGCACCAACAGTAAAGTTGTGCATGAAATTGTTCACTCATGAACAAATCCACAAGGGCCATGATGAGAGTTTGAATCTACGTCAGAGAAGATCCCAGACATGCCTTAATCGACTGTGCTACGGCATGGTAAAGCAGTCGATTAAGGGGCGTCTGGGATCCTCTCGGACGTAGGTTCGAACCCTCATCACGGATCTTGTGGATTTGTTCATTTGATGCATCATGCTATTGTGATTTGTGTGTGTAATTGTTCACTCATCTTTTAGTTAAATCAAAAACTATAAATTTGTTAAATTAAAAATATAATTAAAAGCAAAAATGTAAAAAATTTGTTACAAAAGTTGATATGAATCACTTACTTAGTTTGAGCCATACTAGTAATAGCTTGCATCTGAGCACCCTGAGCTATAACTTTATTGGCGGCCGAGACAGTTGGTGAAGCCGCCATGGGTGCTGGAGATCCAGCTGTCTGCTGCATCACCTGCGTGCTAGCATTGGCAGCAGCAGCAGCAGCAGCAGCATTTGCAGCCATGGCATTAGCATTAGCGGCGTGGGACACTTGCGCATTGGTCATCTGAGAAGCATTACTCATGGCCGGAGATGCTCGGTTGGCACCACTCTTTCCACGCACCTTATTCTGAAACCAATATTTTATTTATAATCCTTATCCGTTATCAATTTATTTGTGATAAAATGAAACTCATAAAGCACAACTACACTAGAGAAGGATATATATATAATGCCAAGAAAACACCTCAACCTAATTTTTTACGCAGGAAAATGTTTCATCCATGTCGGCAGTCTACTTGTCCCCTTTTCACAATGTTTCAGCTTCCAGAACCTCCTTTTATGTGGGACTATCAAAAGTCTTTTTATTTTTTATGTCCAGATAAATGCAGCCAACCCAACCAACCTATAAGATCTCTGTGGCTCTATCACAAAAACTATGCTGATTTGTTACAGTGGATCTTCCCTGTTTGAAAGGCATACTATATTTTATTATGTCATATCTCCAGGTATTCTACCTGGATTATGTCATATCTCCAGGTATTCTACCTGGATTATGTCATATCTCCAGGTATTCTACCTGGATTATGTCATATCTCCAGGTATTCTACCTGGATTATGTCATATCTCCAGGTATTCTACCTGGATTATGTCATATCTCCAGGTATTCTACCTGGATTATGTCATATGTCCAGGTATTCTACCTGGATTATGTCATATCTCCAGGTATTCTACCTGGATTATGTCATATCTCCAGGTATTCTACCTGGATTATGTCATATCTCCAGGTATTCTACCTGGATTATGTCATATCTCCAGGTATTCTACCTGGATTATGTCATATCTCCAGGTATTCTACCTGGATTATGTCATATCTCCAGGTATTCTACCTGGATTATGTCATATCTCCAGGTATTCTACCTGGATTATGTCATATCTCCAGGTATTCTACCTGGATTATGTCATATCTCCAGGTATTCTACCTGGATTATGTCATATCTCCAGGTATTCTACCTGGATTATGTCATATCTCCAGGTATTCTACCTGGATTATGTCATATCTCCAGGTATTCTACCTGGATTATGTCATATCTCCAGGTATTCTACCTGGATTATGTCATATCTCCAGGTATTCTACCTGGATTATGTCATATCTCCAGGTATTCTACCTGGATTATGTCATATCTCCAGGTATTCTACCTGGATTATGTCATATCTCCAGGTATTCTACCTGGATTATGTCATATCTCCAGGTATTCTACCTGGATTATGTCATATCTCCAGGTATTCTACTTGGATTATGTCATATCTCCAGGTATTCTACCTGGATTATGTCATATCTCCAGGTATTCTACCTGGATTATGTCATATCTCCAGGTATTCTACTTGGATTATGTCATATCTCCAGGTATTCTACTTGGATTATGTCATATCTCCAGGTATTCTACCTGGATTATGTCATATCTCCAGGTATTCTACCTGGATTACGTCATATCTCCAGGTATTCTACCTGGATTATGTCATATCTCCAGGTATTCCACCTGGATTATGTCATATCTCCAGGTATTCTACCTGGATTATGTCATATCTCCAGGTATTCTACCTGGATTATGTCATATCTCCAGGTATTCTACCTGGATTATGTCATATCTCCAGGTATTCTACTTGGAGAGTGTTTTGGGAGTTCTTCTACCTTGAAATTACCTTGGAGTGTTTCCGGGGCTTAGCGTCCCCGCGGCCCGGTCGTCTCGTTGCTGGACTGATCAACCAGGCTGTTTGACACGGCTGCTCGCAGTCTGACGTATGAATCACAGCCTGGTTGATCAGGTATCCTTTGGAGGTGCTTATCCAGTTCTCTCTTGAACACTGTGAGGGGTCGGCCAGTTATGCCCCTTATGTGTAGTGGAAGCGAGTTAAACAGTCTCGGGCCTCTGATGTTGATAAGAGTTCTCTCTCAGAGTTCCTGTTGCACCTGCTACTCCCCTACTTCTACAAAAATTATCTCATATAATTTTCCAATTTCCCATTTTAATTATTGTTGAATACTTTAACTATTATGGTTAACAGGTCTGTAATTTTGAAGGGTTTCTCTGCTACCATATATGTAGATTGGAACTGTTTGTCATTTTCCATATATTTGCTAAGATTCCTGTATATAAAGATGCCTGAAAAGTCAACTGAAGTAGAATGCTCAACTTGGGTGTGCATTCTCTCAGAACCCAAAGTAAGACTTCATCTGGGCCAACTACTTTGTTTCTACCTAGTTCCTAAAGCATTTTTTCTACATGTCAATATGTGAATATCTCCAGGATGAGGTCCATTAACCTGCCATCCACTCTTGCTTCATAGGCCTCATAATTTCTTTATTTTAAACTAAAGTCACCAAGTACCAACAATCCAGATTTATCTTTTGTCTGCTCTTGCTATAAGCTTTTTCATGATCATCATAAGGTCGTCTCTTTTATCATCGAGCTCTTTCTTTGTCCATGTACTGTTTGTTGGTGGACTCTAGGCAATAACAATCAGCTTTTGAACAAATCTACAAGGGCCGTAGGGTTCGAACCTCTTATCATCATGGACGTAGTTTCGAACCTTCATCACGGCCCTTGGGGATTTGTTCATTTGGTGTATCACGCTATTGTGATTTCTGTGTGTATTGAATCAGCTTTTCATTGTGATTACAGATCTCCAGCGCCAATATATGCCAACCTTCATAAGTTGTTGTGCATTAGTTCTCTTGCCTTTAGTTTTTTCACCAGCACAGCAGTGCCTTTACCATTTCTAATTTTATTGTCAAGTTTCCAAACTGAGTAACCCAAATTACAAAACAGAACACAAAACAACTGATATAAATTGGAAGAGTTTAGATTCAGAAAAGATCTGGGTATATACTGGTTTGGAAATAGGTTTGTTGATTTATGGAACAAGTTACCAGGCAACATAACAGACCGAGATCGTTTTAAGCATGGGTTAGAGTTAGACATATATATGAGTGAGTTTGGGATTGTAAATAACAGCTACCCTATATAGACCAATAAGCCTTTGGCAATTTACCCTCTTCTCATGTTTATCTTATGTACTTATTTCAACATCAAATTTTGCTTTTATAAAAGGGACCCTTCAGATGCTTGAGCAACCACCAAGGTGCCCTCCAGAAAGAGGCATTTGATTACATTCAATGCTGGATTTTTAAGGAACAATGTTTCTCACCTGTGTTCTGGGTGCCGTCATAGGTCCAGGGGCAAGCTGCTGACCAGCTGTTTGAGTCGACACTGAAGAACCTGGACGAATCTGTGTAGGATTGGAGGGCAGGATAGGTGGACGCATATTGGGTGCCTTGGGCTGGATGTTGGCAGGCATCTCCATTCCAGCTCGTTGCTTGGGAGTCTGAGTGCCGTGCTGCATCGATCCCAATGGCGGCATCATAGCTTAAACGAATTTATTTAGTTACCCAGTTGCACATATCTCTGTTTAAACATATGATATAAATGACCTAAGGAATAATATACAAGAATTTTAAAGTGACAAAACAAAAGTGAGAGAGAGAGAAAGTATAACAGTAGAAGAATAACATTGAGGAGATACACTCAAGGCTAAAATTAATGAATGATTAATGATAGAATGATAAAAAACTTGTGAAATAATTATCCAAGGAACCTAATGAGCAAGTGGAAATGCACCCAGGGAGGAGTAGCCAAGAAACCAAGCTTAAACATCAACAGAAAAGGAAGATCCCTTGTCTGAGCATTAAAAATCTTCAGAAAGAACCAGAGACCAGGATGGGTTGAAAGACACCCAGGAACCCATCTTGGGCTCCTTCCCAACCCCAGGAGCCCTAAATAAAAACCCCAGAGCAGAGACAAGTTTTGCCTGAATGCTTGATCAGACAAGAAGGCATCTTCACACTCTAAAAGGATCTAAGCCAAATGCAACCACCCAGAGAAATAGAAGACTATTTGTCTGAAATTGCTTTACTTGGATCTCCTCTGTGAGCAGCGGTGCAAGGACCAGAGGACTGATCGTCCACAGCAGTCATCAACAAGGAGCAAGGTGCCTTGAGCAGCGGCAGAGGGTTCAATTCAACTCTGCCAGCATATAGGTCATATCTGACTCATACTGACTCTGGTGGAGCAGGGAATCAGGGTGGTAGCATCAAATTTTATTCAGGGAATCAGAGTGGTAAGATAAAATTTTATTTGATGTAGCACTAATTTTTAGTGGATGATCCAAACTATGAACACACAATTTTCACAAATATGAGGGAGCATGGTTTTTTGGCTGGAATGAATGCAAGGCTGGAATGAAACAAGCAAATAGGGGAACCCTCCCCCCCCCCACAGGACGGAGTCCAAGGAATGGCCAACACTTATCCAGGAAAAATCCAGGACTCAAAGAACTGATAATTCAATGGAGTAGTCAATAGTGTCTGCCATCGAGCAAATGACTTGAGGAGTTGTAAACATAGGAGCCAGAGGAGAGGGGAGGGGGAGGGTGATGTGACCTAGTTACTGGGTGCATTGTTTAATTTATTCTCTTTAGACATTGATGTGGTCTGTTTTGCTTTACATCTTTCTGTCGGTTTGATTTCTTGGTGTCGGTGAAGATGATTATGAATTCCCTGCTCTCTGCACCTCCTTAAGGGAGGGTCGGGTTTTTGCCTGTGGCCCTCCGGTATGGTTTTAACCCTTGCACTGCTCACCTATTTTCGGCAAAAACGTCTTGGTGCAATTGTCAAGGACATATTTTTGTTATTTTTACAAATGTTCAGGTAAATTTAATGTCAAAATGTTTCCAAAGTCAACTATTTCCATTTCAAAGCACAAATAGTAATGAAAACATTAAAAAACATTAAAATATAGCCAAATTAAAAAACAAAAAGCACAACTCTCTGAGCGCCTAAAGGCGCTTTGCGCAGTGCAGTGGTTAATGACTCACAAGGCCTGATGTGAATTAATAGTGTGGAGCTATCTCAGTGTTGCTAGCAACATGCAGCCACTGTTTAGTGTCTAGAAAAAAGTTCCATGTGGCAGGACACTAAAGATGGAAAATAACTACACAAATGCAGAAAGGGTTTAACTCTTAACAACCATTTGTCTGCCAATTCTTGGAATTTGTCAACATCTTCCTGCTCCAAACTACACTTTTTGTTATTTATTAACTTTCATCAATCATTTTACAATGTCTGCAAACATCAGCATATATGAGATTGCTCCTTCCGCTAAGTTGTAACTCATAAGCCTAGATTAAAAAACAGTAACAGGCTCTGGGTGTGTTTTGGCAAAGGTGGAAGGTAGTTGGAGTTATGGTAACTGGTTATGCTATAGTGGTGGATATGGTGGTAATGTGATGACCAAACCAAACACCAGAAGATAAGGAGAGGATGACATTTCAGTCAGTTCTGGACCATTACAAAGTCCATTATCACACTCGACTTGATAATGGTGCAGGACAGACCGAAATATTGTCGTCTCCTCATCTTCTGGTGAGTTGTTTAGTCTTTATAACTAACAGTATGTTTGGAGTCCGCACTATACTGATGTTACACTTGGGGTCATAGAATCATACAATACTGTATTATGTTCATGGTATCAGATGTAAATAATAAGCTGTAATGTTGGATCAAGCACTAAGAGTGACTGAGGTACTGTAAAGAGTTCAATTATTGTTGCATGTGGAATTTCCTAGAACCCCCAGTACTACTCATTATGTCCCTCTCATCTTGTAAACATAATCCAAACGGCACCGCTTGACCCACCACAGGTGGTCGTGTAGTGTGGTGTGCATGGGGCCAAGAGCTACTAAACTTACAATTAGGTGCATGCATAGTTTGTGGCTGAGTGTTGGAAATAAAAACACTTTCTTGGCCCGGTTGAGCACCTCTGATGAAAATTGGCTGATTCTGAGCAGCCAGAAGAGCCGGAGAGTGCAGAGTCCCAGGGGTCGCCCACGTGATGCCTTGCTGTAGGAAAACACATCGCACGTTTTACTAAAAATAAAGCCTTACTTTTATTTTTTCAGTACCAGCAACTGCATTTGTCTTAAAAACATGTAAATACAACTTTAACAATCTCCAACTTTCTGAGTGGCACCACTTAAAACAGAGAAAATCAATTTTACTTACAGCATTTACTTGTGTAACTAAAAATGCTTCATGATAAGCCATTAAATAACATTCTAAATCTCCCTTGTATATGTACAAAAACAAACACTGTCATTTTTCAAAATATTCTTCGAACCGCAATCAATAACCTATTTAAATAATAATTATATTTAAGAACACTATTGTCTAATTTTGTATGTTATAAATATATTAGGGAGCCGGTCGGCTGAGCGGACAGCACGCTGGACTTGTGATCCTGTGGTCCTGGGGTCGATCCCGGGTGCCGGCGAGAAACAATGGGCAGAGTTTCTTTCACCCTATGCCCCTGTTACCTAGCAGTAAAATAGGTACCTGGGTGTTAGTCAGCTGTCACGGGCTGCTTCCTGGGGGTGGAGGCCTGGTCGAGGACCGGGCCACGGGGACACTAAAGCCCCGAAATCATCTCAAGATAACCTCAAGATATTACATTGATAGATCTATCTCATTTACAACCCAGTTATTTAACCACTCCGCTGGTTTGCTCACCCCCTTTCCCCCATGATATCACGGGGTGTGCAGTACAGTGGTTAAATAAAAGAACCACAAATAAAGTTACCTTCTGCATATCTCCGGGCTTGTGTGTAGTGGAGTGTGCGGGAAGTATGTTGTGCTGCTGGCTGCTGATGACTCCCACGGGCAGCTGACCGATCACCAATGTCTGACTACCTGTGGTTGGGATGGCCGCAGGAGAGTAACCTATTGGAACAATACTTTTAATGTTCATGGAGAAATATTTGTCAAAATATGCCAGTTAGATTACCATGTGCCCTCGATGACAGCCTCTACGAGACACTTGAGAAGCAACTCTGAGCTAATTGCATACTAGGTATGTAGATGCCCCGTGAACTTTTGAGCATATTCTATAAGCAAGTTAAGGTAATTACCTTGACCGCCAGCCTGCAGTACTCCAGCCTTCCCTGTGGTGGCTGTCAACATGTGGGGGGCAAGTTGACCTTGGAATGGCTTCCCAGCTGCAATTACCTGAAACGACATTTGGTTTACCTACAACCCAAATTTTAAGACATAACTGAAGAATATGTAATATATTAATCATAAGTTACACAATAAAGAAAAAATATGAATTTACTATACAGCTATTTGTACATCTTGTCTTACATTTATAGGCAAAAATGTCGATTTGAAACTAATTTATGCATATCCTTACAGTTCTGGCTAGTCTAAACAATGTACAGTAGGTGTATGCAGTCTCTCTCTCCTCAAATAGTATGGGATGTTACCATCTGAAATTGTGGTAGTGAATCCTCTCCCCTTGTTATCCATGACCCTTGACCTGATGACACCTCTTTAAACTTTTTACCTTGACAACTTTATGTTGGTTAAGCTATTAAATAATAGTTTAGGGAGATGAGGGATAGAGTCCCCTACAGGGGTTATGAAGTTAAGTGTAAGGGCCGGGATGATTCCATTCCTGGTCATAAATCAACCTATCTCTGGACACAATCACAGACCGAGTCACACAGGAAGGCATCACTACTATAACCGAGTGACAAGCAGTGTGATGCTATTATAACCAAACATTGGAATGAATTTTACTGCATTATACTGAATTAAATGCATATTCATTATGTATATTCAATGACTGACTTAACAAAATACAGGGAGTAGTAGTTTTCCTTATTAATGACTTTCAGGACCAGATAGGAGATAGAGTACCATATCTCCAAAATCTTGTGGACGACTGCCTTCCTTATTTCATTATACAGTATTTAATAAATAAATGTTTATTTCCTAATGGGACAGATCACATGTCACAAAGGTGAGTCTTTATTTATCATCCAATCTGCCAGAGTTAAACCTTAATGTGGCCAATCCTGAGTGTCTAGAATTATTTTCTTTTCTTTATGTTTATGTCAGAGACTGTCCAAAGAATGATATCAATATATAACACACCTACGATTATTTCTCATTGTAGATGTTCATATTTCCCCGTCAACACTTACCTGTTATCTGACAGTCAAAATATTTTCAGAATAAATTGTTATGGCCTAAGTTGCTAAATCTGGTGTTTCATCTCATTTTAGTTCCTATGTGATGGCACAAAGGAGAACTTCACTTTATGAAATAATAATAATAATACAAACTAGTCATCCATGTACTGTTACCTGCTTTATACCTGCTTAATGGGGTTCTGGGAGTGCTTCTACTCCCCAAGCCCAGCCCGAGGCCAGGCTTGACTTGTGAAAGCCTAGTCCAACAGGCTGTTGCTTGGAGCAGCCCACAGGCCGCTCAAAGCAACTGTATTTTGTTTAATTAGAGAATGAAGAGAACTTAAGTGCTTCAGTGCCCTCCAATGTTCTGTCAGACAGAGTACAGATGAGCAAACTCATTCAGAAGTCCATAAGATAATTTTTTTGATTTTAGATTTAGATTTTAGATAAAATAAGATTTCCGTGGTTTACCCATTCGCTGATTCCCAGCCTTGTGCCGTGCCTACCAAGCCATTTACAGGGGTCTGGTTATGAGGGTATTTATCTTCGTAATCCACAGGCCTATAAGCATCGCAACCAAGTTGATCCAGTAATTATTAATAATTACTCCAGTAATAAGCAAAAATTAAGCATAGTTATCTTGAGATATTGAGATTCTTGAGGTTATCTTAACACTTTCGCCTGGGCATGACGCAGCATTGCGTCATCCGTTTACTGGCGGTAATACCGGGGATGACGCAGCATTGCGTCATCCACTTTAAATAATCGCCAAAAATCAGGTTTTTATCCGATTTATTTGGGACTGGTTTTAAAATGCGCGCCGATGTCTTCCCATTTTCTTTGTTGAGCCTCGTGGCCCTCAGGCGGCTTGGCACACGCCGTGGGCCCATTGTTTTCGCTCCACTGTTGTGACCAATGTTGCCTCCCCTCGCATCTCAAACGTGTGAACATTTCGGCTATTTTGCGTGGCTATATTTCTTACTGCGGCTTTAGAAACTATCTACGCTTACTCCACGATGGATAGTGATCATGAACAAGGCCCTTCCAGGAAGAAAATTGCGAAAGAAATGAAAAGGGCGGGAATTGGGAGTGTAGCTGGAAGGCGTCTGAGCGCTTACTTGCGGCTAACGCGTGGCCCGTCTTCAACTCGTCGGCGGTTGGAGAGTGACCAGGTTTTTTATTTTATATGCTAATGTTCCTATAGAGAATTCTATTGCAAACCCATTGAGACCAAAATGAAAGACCTAGGACGAAAATTGAGGTGACCAGAGTGAAAATAGTGAAAACATTTTATCGCGTTTGCGTGCTCCTGGGTAACTCGTTCGCACTTTCTCTGTTTGCTGCGGGTAATTAGCCGGGCTTTTGGAGTTTATATGCATTTAGTGCTGTAGAGAATTCTATTGTGAACACAATGATACAAAATTTAATCTTGTAGGACGAGAATTAAGGTGACTAAGTTGAAGAGAGTATACAGTTTTCAGAATTTACGCGCTCTCCCGTGACACCCTGGGTCCTATATCGCACAGTTGAGGGGTGGCGGGCGGGGTGCGCGAAAGTGTTAAGATGATTTTGGGGCTTTTTAGTGTCCCCGCGGCCCGGTCCTCGACCACGCCTCCACCCCCAGGAAGCAGCCCGTGACAGCTAACACCCAGGTATGTATTTTACTGCTAGGTAACAGGGGCAAAGGGTGAAAGAAACTCTGCCCATTGTTTCTCGCCGGCGCCTGGGATCGAACCCAGGACCACAGGATCACAAGTCCAGCGTGCTGTCCGCTCGGCCGACCGGCTCCCATAGTATTTCATAGAAGTTTTAGACTATGCTTCAGTGATATTTCATATATAGAGTACCCTCTCAAATTTTGACCTATCTATAATAGATCCTCTTAAATAATTGAATAAATCCATCCACTGGATTTTCCCAACAAATTTTTTTTCTTTGCTAATCTTGCTTATTTATTTGTAAATGTCAGTTAAAAATAATACAGTACACTGTACATTCATATTTTAGAAATAGTTCACAAAACTTGCATTGTACTGTATTACAAATTGTAGAAACAAGCTTATGTGAATTGTTTTTCTGAGGCATTCAGACCTACTGTGAGGACACTCGTATTGATCACGTGTTTTCTTTCTGTATTTACTCATCAGTACCTGCCCATCAGTCACTACGAGGGAAGTGAAATTTAGTTCTTTATGATGACCAAACCACACACAAGATGCGGAGAAGACGATGTTTCGATCTGTGCTGGACCATTATATCAAGTCGATTGTGATGCCCAAAATATCAACATATTATGGTCATCATATCTTCAACCATGTTATTGTGATTCATCGTCTGCTTAGGTTCTTTATGCTCCACCTCTTAGCCATCTATACCTTGTGCTCCAATTATCTCTCAATGCAGCATTGTCCCTTATCATTATTGCAACCCATCCACCTGTTTAGATGGTACTCTTTGTAGCTATGTGCACCATAGTATGAACATTGATGTACTAAGCACTTATTCACTTTATAGTCCAAAAAAATTAAGGTAAAAACAATCTTAAATATTCCTAGGCCTAATATAGCACACATATATACTACATTAGGCCTCAGATAGAGTGTATTAGGCCTAGGCAGGTTAGGTTAGTTTAGTTTGTCTTTGCAACGTAAGTAAAAAATAGTTTCTCGGTTTGTCCAAATTCAATAGTACCGATATCTACTTTCTAGTTGTGATGTGCGTTGGTATACAGTATGCATTATGTATGCATTATTGTAAGATGCAGAAAGCTATAACGCAGCGTCACACTGCAACTCAACACGTTTACTGTATAGGTCGCTGCTAAGCATAACATATATGGCAAGTCAGCCATGCGAGGAACATTCGAGATATGCAGAAGAGGAGTCACAATAACGTGGGTGAAATATGTTGACCAAACCACACGCTAGAAAGTGAAGCGACGACAAATTTTTGGCCCCTCCTGGACCATTCTCAAGTCGATTGTGACTTGAGAATGTCACAATCGGTCAGTCCGTCCTGGACCATTCTCAAGTCGATTGTGACTTGAGAATGTCACAATCGGTCAGTCCGTCCTGGACCATTCTCGCAATCAACTTGAGAATGGTCCAGGACGGACCGAAACGTCGTCGTCGCTTCATTTTCTAGTGTGTGGTTTGGTTAACATTTGAGATATAGTAATAAATGGAGAATTATTTTCAGCAGTTATGTTAAGAAAGGTTAACCTGCCATCAATAGATGGCTTCAGAGCTCAAATAAACTACTGATAAATTCTGTTTCACTGGTGTGAATATATGTACTATACTGTAGCAGTAACTGATAAATCACCAAAGCTACAAATATTTATTAAACGTTTGTATTGAGTATACAGTAAATCAATGTTATAATTTTATTGTACCACAGTACTAAAATATTGTACAAAGTAGTAGTAACTTCTAATATTAAAGAATACATTTGATTTACAATACACTGTACAATAATTAATGAGTAATAATGAACATAAATAGTGTTAAAATGAACATATACACAGGATATGACTGATGGTAAAGTTTACATATATTCTCATATAATCATGACTATGATTCCATCATAAAACACTATGGTAAGGCAAATGGTTTAATTATTCTACCCATTACTATTAAATCAATTTCTATAACTTTGTACTGTACATGCACAGAGTGACATGTCTACACAACCTCACCTGAAGCGGCTGATTGAGTCCATTCAGAGTATTTGGTTGTATAGGCGTTGTATTCATGCCTGTAGCCGTCTGAAGGGTGAGATTACTAGGCACGATCAGTTGACCCTGGGCATTTTGGTACAGTTGTTGGAGATAGGGGCCACCTGGTATTCCACTCTGAATTACTTGTACCTGCGGAGAGAACTGAAAAACAAGTTTTAATATGATAACAATAGCTTTATCTGAATTATACTTCATGACTGCAAGTCAAAAATTATGCTAATGCTAATATAAAAAGTATGCTAATTTCTTTTAATGTTAGCCCAATGAATAAGAACAATTACTTATAAGAGCTCTTTAAACTATCGAATAGGAATTAATTAATAGAAAAGTGTATGTATGTATGTATGTATGTATGTATGTATGTATGTATGTATGTATGTATGTATGTATGTATGTATGTATGTATGTATGTATATATGTATGTATGTATATATGTATATATGTATATATGTATATATGCATATATATATATATATATATATGTATATATATATATATATATATATATATATATATATATATATATATATATATATATATATATATATAATCTATTTATGTTACGACTGAGAACTTTTACATAGAAAAACTCAAACATACACTAAATTTCATGCCATACCAAAACAATTATTTTCATCTGCAAACAGAACATAGAACAAACATTTAAGTTTAATACCAATATTTAAGCAACTAGAGACCCTTATTATATAACGACATTATATAAGAATCAAATTGATACATTTGCATGAAGAGATAAAATACCTGTGGCATAGGAGATGGTGACACTCCAGGGTGAGTGAGAGGCTGTGGAGCGAGGTGGTGTTGGAGAGGCTGGTGCAGCGCCGACACCGTACTTGTGCTCGTCTGTGGCACTGGTGCCGGGGCAATAGCCGGAGGAGCGGACTGCATCCCAGATGCCAACGAGGCTTGAACATAGAACTGAGGGCAAGAGATAATCATTATACTTAATATACGTACGTACTGTACACAATTCTAGATGAAATGAAATGGGAAAAATCATAGAAATACTGTATGAGAAGGGTTAGTATCTTTGAATATGGAGATGCTATCCATGGGTTGCTTAACAGATTAAGAAATACAATATGACCTCCATAAGTAACCCATTATGAAGATCACTTAATATGGTTAATATATTGTGAATTTAGAGGGTCCCAGTACTACAATCGGGTTCGTTCTTGACCCAATCAAGAATTCTGGGTTTGAATATGGACAGCATAGAAATAGTTGGGCGCATTTCCTAGCAGTAAATAAGTACCCAAAAGTTAGTCTGCTTGTGGGGGTTGCATCCTGGGAAGGGTCAATAATTCGACCCTTAGGGGAGACCTCGATACAAGCCTAACATGAACTGTATGTACAGGCTGGCTGCCTGTTCTCAGCCACAATGAATTATAATTATTATAAGAGTTTAACAAGAGACAGCTTCCAAGAACTAATAAGAGATGACACACATTTCTGTTGAGGTAGCACATCTTGCCACTCATTCTATCACTGTGTCTTCATAACCTCTGTCACCAACTGAATGGCTGAAATGACTTCATTTGCAACTTCAGCTGGCCACGTTCACAGCTTCAGCCGGCCACGTTCACAGCTTCAGCCGGCCACGTTCACACCTTCAGCCGGCCACGTTCACAGCTTCAGCCGGCCACGTTCACAGCTTCAGCCTGCCACGTTCACACTTTCAGCCGGCCACGTTCACAGCTTCAGCTGGCCACGTTCACAGCTTCAGCCAGCCACGTTCACAGCTTCAGCCGGCCACGTTCACACCTTCAGCCGGCCACGTTCACAGCTTCA